CAAGGCCAATTGGAGATGAAAGCTAACATTTTGAAGTTCAATCTGTGATTTTTCTAGAATTTTCTACCGAGCCAATTGGCATAGTATTACAAGTAAAGTTAGCCCACGTGCGGACAGGACAATTTTGTACATGTTACGTGAATGTGAAGAAACGGAAGCCTTCCCAAATTTTCCAAGTTACGTGCTATACATGGTTAGAAAGATAAGACATTTATCTTTCTAAAATATATTTTTAATGATTTTTCTAAAAGTCCGAAGATCCCCAAATTGTGTGACAATTGGGCTGAGCTGTATTTCCCTGTGGAGTTAGGAATTGTGATTTTTACTTTCCTAGTTGGATTCCTTGTTTACCAAGACTTATTGGACGACTCTCAGTCAATTTTAGGGTTTAGTACTCCGATATAAGTTATATAAAAGGCCAGCCAAGGCCCCTATACAAGCATTCACGTCCTAAAGAGATCAACCACGCAAGAGGAGAAATCTGCCAACGAGTTCCTCTTTTCCTTTCCTCTTTTACTTTTTCAGTTCTTATGTATTTATTTTTGAGTTCATCCAAGAACATGAGTAACTAATTTCTTGTTAGTAGGGCTTAATCTTGAAGCTCTAAACATGATTTCAATTTTATAAACAAGTTTGAATGGATTTTCAGTTTCTACAAGCGTGATGATTTCGGTTTCTCTATGTTATGTGAATTCTAATATTTTGTTTCTTTAAGTAGCTAACTTGGAAGCATGTATTGGAATTACATTGTTGTAGAACATAGGTCAATTGCCATATTGAATGTGTTCTTGTTTGCAACGAATAATTGGGTTAAGAACTAGTTATGAGAAATCGATTCTTGAATTCCTAATAACAAATGCCATGTTTTAGGGTTTTTGTGACACTCATATTCTCTTTGATCTTAATGGATTCTTGATTGTTAATTTGAGTAAATGCGATACTAGATTTCAATTAAGAATACACGTATTGATGTAAATGCCATACACTTTACATACACATAAGAGAGAATCATACAACTCGAGTAAAATGCCATGATCTTGTTGTGAGTGTTGTCATCATATGCTTGCTAGAAATTGATTATCTATTGTTGTTTATGGATTGATTGATTGTTCGGAGGTGGATAGTAAGTCCTAGCTACTGTTCTTGATTGATTTTAAACCAATTTCTCTTAGACTCTAATTTAAATTCTGTTTTCTTTTCTTTTCCTTGTTTTGTTTTATTCACAAAATCAAATCAAAACACCCCTTGGTGTTGGCGTGTGTGCAGAAGTCCTTGTCGTCGTTCGCAGAGTCACGAGCTTATACCATACAACCCTGAACTAGAGAACACACTTTGCTATCTCCATCGAGATAAAAATAAGCACGATACACTTCCAATCAAGATGGGAGACGAGTTGGAACTCAACAACCTCACCCGACCTTTGAAAGATTTCACAGTTCCTAAAGCATTGGACCAGCCGTCTTGCATTGCATACTCAACCACTACAACCATGTTTGAGATCAAGAGTGGCACCATTCACCTTTTGCCACAATTTTATGGTAAGGCTGGGGATGATCCTCACATACATATCAAGGATTTCTTTGCTGTGTGCGCAACTATGCACAATGGAGGGATTAGTGATGAGACAATCAGATTGAGTTTGTTTCCATTCTCACTCCAGGAACGAGCCAAGGAGTGGCTCTATTCTTTGCCTAGTGCATCTATCACCACATGGACAGCATTGGCTTCCAAGTTCCTTGCAAAGTTCTTTCCAGCTCAACAGACAAACCATATTAGGAAGGAGATCATGGGAGTGCAGCAACTAGATGGAGAATCATTTCATGAGTATTCGGATCGGTTTCAGAGACTCCTAGCTTCTTGCCCTCATCACCAAATTGAAGATTGGCTACTTATGCAATATTTTTATGAGGGATTACTTGATTCGGAGAGGATGATGGTTGATGCTACTAGTGGAGGAGGCTTGATGAACAAGAGTGCTACTCAAGCTAAGGAAATGTTTGAGAACATTGCAGCAAACTCTCAACAATTTAATTACCAGAGAGCTCCCCCAAAGAAAGCAGGCGTTTATGAGGTAAGTGCTAGTGATATTGGTCCTCAAATCGCTAATTTGACTAACCTTGTTAAGCAGTTAATCCCTCAAGCACAAGTGTGTGCCGTGTGTCCTAATCCCGGACATCCTACGGAGCCTTGTCCAAGCTTGTATGGCGATGGAGAAGAGATGGCTCAAGCACACTGTATGCAGCAACAAAAGCCAAGAAACGATCCATTTTCTAACACCTATAATCCGGGATGGCGGCAACACCCTAACTTTGGATGGAAGAACAACCAAAATGTGCAAACAGCCCCGGTTCAACAAAATCAGTTTGTTCCTCAACAAAATGCACCACCACCTCATGGGCAAGGTAAGTCTTTAGAAGAGTTAATTAATTCTTTGGCATTAAGCACTCAAGGTTTTATGCAGGAAACAAGGCCAATACAGACACAAATGTCTACAACAATCAAGAGCCTTGAAAACCAAGTTGGACAAATTGCAGCCTCCTTGAGTCAAAGAGAGCCAGGAAAGTTTCCAAGCCAAGTAATTCCAAATCCTAATGGAGGCCATGAAACAGCAAAGGCGATTACTCTTCGAAGTGGAAAAGAGGTGGAAAATGTTGACAATGAGGAGAGAAATTCAACCAAAACAGTGGCTGCCCCCTCTCCCAAGCTTACGGTTCCAAGTGACAACTCTAAGGTGAGTTCTCTTGTGAATCATTCGATTACTTCAAAAGTTCCTTTTCCTCGTAGGTTTTTGAATTCAAAGAAGGAGCAAGTTTCAAAAGATATTTTAGAGACTTTTCGAAAAGTACAAGTGAACATTCCCTTGCTCGATGCGATCCAACAAATTCCAAGCTATGCAAAATTCCTCAAAGACCTTTGTACAAATAAGAGAAAGTTCAAAGAGCATGAAACCGTGGCCTTGAGTGAAGAAGTCTCAGCTGTGCTATTGCGTAAATTGCCTCGTAAACTAAAGGATCCAGGGAGTTTTACTATACCTTGTCTCATTGGAAATCAAAGGTTTGAACATGCTTTATTAGACATAGGTGCTTCAATTAATTTGATGCCTTTTTCTGTTTTTGAATCTTTAAATTTAGGTGAGCTTAAGAAGACTTCCGTGAGCATACAATTGGCTGATCGATCAATCAAGTATTCTAAGGGAGTGTTGGAAGACGTTTTGGTCAAGGTGAATAAGCTAATTTTTCCAGCTGACTTTATAGTGCTCGAAATGGAGGAAGTTCCTATTCCTGGAAAAGACCTTCCATTGCTTCTAGGACGTCCATTCATGAGAACAGCAATGACAAAAATTGATGTGTATGAAGGCACTCTCACAATGGCATTCGATGAGGAAACCTTGGAGTTTAAGGTATTTGATGCTTTAAAATATCCTAATGATGATCATGCTTGTTTTTCCATAGATGTACTTGAGCAAATGGTGCAAGAAACATTTAGTGCATCACAAGGAGAGATGCCATTGGAGAGGGCACTCATCCAAAGCCTCGAAACTGTGAACAAAGAAGGGAACATAGCTGTACTTGAAGCTGTGAATATGCTTGAGGCCTTGCGTCCCCAAAGAGGTAAGTTTAACTCTATTTTTGAGCCTCTTTTATTATCTACTAATAAGCTTGTTCCCTCTATTGTGAAGGCACCACAAGTTGAGCTAAAACCCCTTCCGGAGAACTTGAAATATGCATATTTAGGTCACGAAAAGACGCTGCCTATGATCATTGCTTCTAATTTGAGTGCATCAGAAGAAGACAAATTAATTCGAGTTCTAAGGGAGCACAAGACTGCCCTAGGTTGGACCATTGCAGACATTAGAGGAATAAGCCCTACAAAGTGCATGCATAGGATCCTTTTGAAAGGAGAATCAAAACCTACAAGGGAAACCCAAAGGAGGCTGAATCCGGTGATGAAAGAAGTCGTTAAGAAGGAAGTTTTGAAGCTTTTGGACGTCGGAATTATATACCCCATTTCGGATAGCAAGTGGGTGAGTCTAGTCCACATTGTTCCCAAGAAATCCTGAATTACTGCTATGAAGAATGAAGACAATGAGTTGGTGCCTCAAAGAATTCAAACAGGTTGGAGAGTATGTATAGATTATAGAAAGCGCAATACCACGACATGTAAGGATCACTTTCCGTTATCATTTATTGATCAAATGCTTGAGCGTCTTGCAGGTCATAGTCATTATTGCTTATTGGATGGATACTCCTGATACAATCAAATTGCCATAGCTCTGGAAGATTAAGAAAAGCCCACCTTTACCTGTCCATTTGGTACGTTTGCTTATAGGCGTATGC